CTATTTCAGGTGCTCACAATCGTACCGATTATAATTCATACAATAAATATTATATGAAAGTAAAAAATTTCTTTGATTCATATATAAAACAACATGCACCAGAACATCTGAAGCATGCTTGGTTTTCTTCATCAAATTTTGCATTTTATGGTGTTCAACGTGAATTACTTTCTGGCTCCTCTTCTTCTCTTCTTGTATCATTGGGTATTGCCTTAGTGGTATTGTTTCTTACATCAGGCAATTTATTTATTGCAATATATGCATTAATTACTATTACTTTTGCTATTGGTAAGCATCCTTTATTTTCCTATGACATATTCTTTAAATGAAGTGTTGTAAATTTGATCGAAAGTAAAAAATATCGAAATAAAAAAAGTGGCAATGAAACAAAATTTGTTGAACTAACAGTAGCATCAAAACCTTCACTTTTATAAAATAATTATTGTTGTATTTATATAAAAGTTTACGTATTTAAGAAATTATCTTTTGGTTTTAATTCACAGTTTAAGCATATTCGTAAAAGACTGAAGGATATTGATTTTTAAATTTTTTACAATGTAGATCAATACTTTCTTATTATATTTTTAGAGGATTAGGTTAAAAAGAAAATGATGAAGAAATGAGTCTCAGAATAGATGGAATAAAATAATTTTTTTTTATAATTTTTGTGTTTAATCTCACATGGATTTGATCTAATAATTTGTTTCTTTTTTAATAAAAGATTTTTTAAAAAATAAATTTATTCTCTTTAGCTATTACTGTTGGTGTATTTGTTGTATTAGAATGGGAATTGGGAATTATTGAAGGTATTGTTATTGTTATGGCTGTTGGTCTATCAGTAGATTTTGTTGTTCATTTTGGTGTTGGTTATATTCATATAGACCCAACAGATATTGATAATGAAAGAAAAAAGATTGAAGATCAATCGAAACCCAATGGAAATGAAAATGATAGTAGTAATTTATTTCTAGTATAATAAAAAGAAATTAAAATTTTTATATTTTAGAAATAAATACTTGGCGTGTTATGTATAGAAAACAACAAGTTGAACGTACAACACGTGTAAGAGGATCAATATTACGCGTTGGTTCAGCAGTATTTATGGCTGCTTTTACAACATTTGCTGCTGGATTTTCTATGATATTTGCATCAGTTATTGCTATTCGACAAATGGGACAATTTTTAATGGCAATTAGTATGTTTAATAACAAATAAATAAAATTATTAGTTATGAATTTTTTTTAGTGTTAACATCATGGAGTTTTTCAATGTTTTTCTTTTTACCATTATGTTTGATTATTGGTCCAGTTGGTATTTGTGGTTCGATTCCATTCTCAAGATTAATTAAATGCTTTAAACAAACTCCGCGTCAACAATAAACAAAAATTATCAATCATATTTAGGTTATTTTTTTTTTTTTTCGTTATAAAGTCTGATCAATATTATAGAATAAATCTTATATGACATTTCATTCATTACTCCAAAGAATAATTTTTATCTTTTTGTGATATTTGATAAGGGTGGATGTGAGTTTGGGTGTAGGTGAGGTAAGAGTAGGAATGAGTGAAGAAAAGATTCCTACTCACATCCACACTCACCCTCAGATGAATGAGATTTCATTAGGGACTCTAAGAGCACCGTTCAAGTTTGAGGTAATAACAAATTAATTAGATGACTTCGAGCTTAAAATTTTGATCAACTAGATCCTAATGAAGATCTATACAAAAACACAATTTCATTAATGGTGTGGAGTAGGACTAGTTTTGAACCTTGTGTAGGATTCATGTTTTTTACTAATCATTTATCAAGTTTTGGGTGTGAGTGTGTTGTCTTTATTAAAGCCACCCACATCCATATCTTTCAAATGAAGAAAAACAGAAGTATTAGTTTTCAATACAATACATTCAAATGAAACAAGTGCACGTTCATCAGTTACAAGAAAATTTCAGTTAAGTAGAAGAAGACAAACAAAGCAAAAAATATTAGTACAAAATATTGATGAAACGGAAAAGTAACAGAATGATATAACAATCGGCAGAAAGATGACATCCGTTATTGAAAACTAATTGACGACATTCTATTCCTGGAAAAATTCTCAAGATAAAACTAGCATACAGCTAATATGATGAAACTTTTATGTGTTAAGAAAGCTTCTTATAAATTTAATTGAGAACTGTTAGAAAAATAGGCATTAGAGTTTTTCTAGATTCATATTGCGCATATATTTTAGCTCACGCCCCAGATACTGTTCATTTTTTCCTCTAATTTGAATCAATTGTCTAATTAATCCAGGTAATTTTCAAATATGTTCAGCTTCATTTGCAATACTTTCTCGAATGATTGAATGAAATCGACTTTGTAGATCGATTCCATGGTTTATTTCTGTTTCTAGTAAGATTTTTTCATTTCGATCTATTAATTTCGATGCTAATTTATGAGTCATAAAACCGTTCACTATGTAACGTTGTGATTCAAGTTCATTATAAAATTGTTCAGATAATGTTTTATTCTCATGAAAACAATGTCTATCAACAGAAGTAAGACATTTTTTTATTATCTTAACTTCTTTTTTATAACGACAATCTCCATTAAATAATCGAATAACGGTTAGGGTGTGGGTGTGGTTGGGTTTGGGTATGGGCGTGGGTTGGTGTATGATGAGAAGATGTCGACATCCTCACCCACACCGTGTTTACGCGAAGAATGAGCTGTTATGCGATATGAGTGAAAATAAACACAGCCAAATGCTATCTGGGTACAAACCTGTATGCAAAGCCTCGTCACTGAAGCGACAAACAAATCGACTCATGAATACAACAGTCCTATGAATAATCAGCTAACATTATAGTTGAAGATCAAACTTGCGTTTCGTGCTGATGGTTCATC